CCCCCCCCCCCCCCCCCCGCTGGGACACAGAGCAGCGCCCAGCGGGGAGGAGAGAAAAGCAGGGATGCAACGCTATTTCGGGCAGAAAAATTGTACTTTTGGCACTTTTCCAAAAGTGCCATTTTTGGCCGATATATTGGTGCATCCCTAAATTATATTATTACGAATGCAACACGAGGATTGAGAGGGGAGCACCCGAGGATGGAAGGGAATACCCGGAAGTCCTAGTTGGGTGGGGACAGAGTCTGGGACCACTCATCTCTGAAGGTTCTAAGGCAGGGGTGTCACGCACAATTTAATTGTGGGTCAATTAACATTATGGTTGCCCTCAAAAGGTATCTGTAAGACTATATAAATGTATCTGATCTTTATCCATCCATTATCACCGGTTTTAGTAATAACTTTATACCTAGATCTGAAAGTAGAAGTCTAGGAAATGGCCTGGCGGGCCGGATTTGGCCCCTGGGCCTTGAGTTTGACACATGTGTTCTAAGAGGTAGAAGAAGCCCACAAGACTTCACCTGCATTCAAAATTAGCACTCATTGTCTCTTACAGATTCATCACACAGCAGTTCCAGGATGTGTTTTACTGTCCGGGGGGAGAACGGCTGAGAGGCAGCGATGGGGTTCTCCTCATCGTCTGATTTCACTGGATCTCTCTGTCCATCGGCAGCTGACAGAAAACAAGAAATAGAGAAATGAGTCCAAAAACACAAACGTCTGGAATCTGCCCTTTATATAATGAGAACAAAGCTTCCCCATAGCTGGTAATAGTCACATTGAAGTGGACTTGTCCTGTAATATTAGGGATGTTTCATAGGTGCTCCGAGCCCTTTCATAGTCTGTTCTTGAACAATCAACATTTGCCTTGACGCATTGCACGGTGATCGGATTAAGGTTTCTCTGCTACCTGTGTGGATGTAAATGATCGGGAATGCTCCCGACACTTATTAGAACTGATATTAGCAAAAATACCGGGCGGCCCCCCCCGCTGGCCGCCGGTATCTGGAGTCTCTCATCCCTCCCTGGAGCCACTGCTGTCCCCCGCTTGTAGGGTCTGTGGCAGCGTGGATCCGAAGAAAAATCGCCGGTTTGGGCGGAGGAGCGAGCGGCGGCTGGCCGCAATTCAGGATGGCTGAGCGGCGAGTATACCGGAGCCGCTGTCATCCTGTCAGTTTTCGGATGACAGCGGCTCTGTAGCGTGGCCGACTGGGGGATCAACAAGTATCATTGATATTTATCAATCCCGCTGTGCAGAGCAAACACCGAAGTGATCGTCTGATCACTCCGGTGTTTGTAAATAACTGGGGACACATAGTACTACATCACTTCCTGTTCATTCATACATTTATGAATGGGGAGTAGCACTCACTACAGAGGCTCCTCCCCATTCATAAACTGGTGATAGTAAAATATTTTGCCTCTGTACTGAGTGCTTCCCATTCATTGAGTGCTGTGGCTGCAGAAAAAGAAATTAAGGACTCTGTGTCCTCAATTTCTTTTTCTATTTCAAAAGGGAAATGTCAGGGGTCTGTTTAGACCCCTAATATTTCCCCGTAGCCCCCCCAACAGTAAAAAAAAAAATACATAAATAAAATTTAAAAATAAATAAAAAATGTTTAAAAAAATGAAAATGATAAAAAAATAAATAAATAAATGTGTAAAAAAAATTAATAATAATTTAAAAAAAACACAACCCCTCCCTCCCCCG